GCCCAAAAAAAAGCTCCACCCTCGCTAACTGACTCCAGGGGATTCACGTTCACGGTGCCAGTTGCGATTCATTTCTCTCTCCCATCACCTGCGCTTTGGCTCCGTGGCCTTCAAGGCTGACCGGTTTTACGAGCAGAAACCCCAGCAGGAATCACACTCTCGTTAGATCTGCCCTTTACTTCTGATCAGCAGTGTCTCTGACAGTTTGCACCCAGGAATGAAAGTTTCCAGCCAAGTTACCGAGCCCCCACAAAGCAAAAGCGGCGAATAAAAAACTTTACCGTCCTTTTTTAGGTGGCTGTGCCGCAGAGCCCTGTGCCAAAAGGGCGTCAGGGCTGCGGACCCATGGCCAGCGCTCCCCACCGAGGCAGTTCTTGCAGAAAGCCTGGAAATCCTTGGCCACAAAAAAAATGGGGGAGACTTTCGGGGTACCAATGAGGAGCAATCAACAGTGAAATGGGCCCTGATGCTGGCATGAGGCGGCCCCTGTCCTGAGCCAGCCCCGTCCCAGGGTCCCCCAGGCTGGAGGAGCCCCCGGCAGCAATGAGCCTCTCTGGGAGGGAACCGGGGCTGCTTGAAGTTTCCCCGAGCTTTTGCAATTAATTAAGGTGCCCGCACACACCAGCAGCTTGCAGGGTTCATAAATCCACCTTCGATCACGCCTCCGGCCCTTCTCTTGACGGCCGTCTCAGCTGAGCCCCCTGCCCGCCCGCGGGGTGGCCAGGCTGAGCCGTGCCTGGACGGAGATGGGTTTCCCAGCAGGTTTGTCCCTGCCGGCTCCTGCCATCCTGCTCGTTCCCTGGGAGCAGCTGGTGGGAGGTGGGACGGGAAAACCCTCCTGCAGAACGGGAGGAACACCTCAGTTAAGCCAACGCCTGCTGGGAGCCACACAGCGCCGGGCCAAATCCTGCTTGCCTCGCTCGCGGCCCGCTGCTCTGTCTCTCCCTGCCGCACCGGTTTGGGATGCGCTAAGCTGGCAGGTTTAACGCTAACACTGTCGCACAGATTGGTAACATCATTTATCATACGGTTTTGTGGTTTGGGGGGGTTTTTTGGTGATGGACCTCACTGCTACAGCCAGTAAACGTCTATAATTTACTCACTGAGCTGCTGGAAGCCTTTTTTTTTGGCCCTGAGATATTTTTGTTCCCTGTGAACGGGAACCATTCTACAGCCTCCTCGCCTCAGGGCAGGAGCTGCGCCGCTACTCAGGCAATTAAAACCAAGGGAAACCAGGGCGGGAGGAAAGGAGATGCACAAGAAAAAGCTCTCGATTCAGCTGTGCAATCCTCCCAGTAATTTTCAGGGGAAAAAAAAATCTTACCAAATTAATAGAGGAAAGGACAGCTCAGCCCAGCCCAGCCAGCTGTCTGAGAAGTCAAGATTAGAAACCAGGGAGGAAAATCATCACCAGGCTGCCAGCGCCAGGGCAGGCTGCTGCCGGCTGGCAACACCGGTGTGCCCCGGTAAGCTGCTGACAGCTCAGCACTTGTCTTTGCAGCTCGCACCCCTGGACATCCCAGCAGTGTATTTCAGGAAATAAAGAATAATAATAGTAGGGGAAAAAAAAGGAATCAAAAGACAAATGGTGCAGGCAGCCCATCGCTCCCGCCTGCCATGCCAGGGCCACTCTCTGCCCGAGGCTGGGGGCAATATTGTCTCTACAGACCAAGAAACAGGGTATAGGAAGGTGAAGGCATTTGTCACCAATAGACAATTATTTTTGTTCACTCCCAGGCTACATCACACACTGCTCAGGCTTATCCCAACTTTCATGCTTTACAAAGGAAGATACTCAGCTCCTAAAAAACTCACTGACATAAAAGGACCCTCAGGCATCAGTTACTTGCAAGTGATGTGCAGGAGAGGCGTGGGAGAGTCCTGCCGCTGCCAGGTTTCCCACTGCCTGCACCATATGGCAAGTCAGGATGGAGAAATTCAAGAAAACAGAGGAGTTAGGGGTTATGGGACAAGGAGTACAGAAAAATAAAATAAAAAAGTTCAGCCTGAAGCGCTGGAGCTCCTTTCGGCCACCTAAAGCCTGGGACCGTCCGTGCCGAGGGAAAGGGCACATCCCATCTTCCATCGAGCACTGACCTCACCAGATCCACTAGAAGTTCATTAAGGAGGTGAAAACTCCTGTTGTTTTCTGAATTTTACTTGATTACTGTGAAACAGAAGACACTAGTGAGGAGAGAGTGTTGTTTTTTAAGTAAGGACCCTGGAGCCTGGGGAAAAATCTGGGGGGGGGGGTTGCAAAACAAAGCCCCTATTAACTTTGGTCCTGACTTTCAGGTCATGCATGTTCAGTTCTTTTTACCTGGAAATGAAGATGTTAATTGGAGTCGACAGCTTTCATAGGTTTCCCCATTAGCAATATTTTTAGCCACAGTAGGGCCCAAGTCTTCAAACGCTTTCCCAAGGGAAGGTTTTAACCTTTCTTTTGAAACATCTCGTGCCACTTGCAGGAAAAAAAAAGAGGGTTTTGGCTTGAGGCGTACCGAGCCCCAGCTGGGTTGAACTCCCAGCTCTTCTGAACAGGGGACATGGGAGGAACAAGGAAAAGAAACCGGGGAGAGGCAGCCTGGAGCCCGGAGCAGAGCTTGGCACCGTGCAGCAGCATCACGCAGGGGGGCAGCCGCCCCTCCAGCACCCCGACCCTCCCCGTCCGGGTGATGGGCTCTGGGCACGGCCAAGTCCCAGGGGGTTGTGCGGGCTGCCTTGGCTCCGGTCCCCTGCGGCACGGCCCATCTCCACCACGGAGACAGGATCACCCTTCAGCATCGGCGCTCAGAACCAGGAGTCGATCAGACACGTGTCCCGTGCCACGCGGATGCCCGACCCTGCTGTCCTCGTGCCGGCAGCGGGCACGGGACCCGTCCACGGGTGACGTCTGGGGCAGAGACCAAAAGGGTTCCTCAAATCAGATCCTATATGTCGACATTTTGTTAGCTTGATGGATCCAAGAACATTTTTTTTTACAGCTGGTTTCTTTATAGACTGTTATCATCTATACGTAATTTATTGTTTTCAGATGAAGCAAAAGCCTTCAGAAACCACATTCAGTGTTGTCTCCTGTCCAGGACTGAAAACTATGCTTGCTTTCCATATAAATATATGGATTGTGTGTGTGTGTGTATATAATCCATTAAAAATAATATAGTTTTATTTATATGTATTATCCATTTATATATATTTAAAATAAAAATATTTTTATATATATAAAAAAAACATAATCAGGGATGACAATATTTCCTTATTTTAGAAACCTGCTCCAACACACATTCCACTTACAACACCACCTTTACCCTCACCAAGTTCTGCAGTTTCTCTCTAAGTGGAAACGTATTTTAGCTGAAATCTGTGCTGACACCTGAAGAAGCAGTTTCAAGCTCCCAGTAGAGCCTCAGTTATTTACCTCATTGTATCCAGTGTAATCACTCTGGAAAGTCTAAGTTTTGAAATTTTATGTTTCTAAAATGGTGACATCAAGGGAGACCCAACCATTTTATGAGGATGCTTTTACTCATCTTTGCAGGCAGCAGCTGAGACAGGGCAGCCTAGGGCTGTCCCAGCTGCTTTGGTGCTTCGAGACCCTGGGGCTTTACCAGAGCAGGGACAAAAGGGACCCCTCACTCCCGAGAAAGGGCAAGGGGCCGGAGGGGGAGGCAGCCCCCTCTGCACAGGGCTTCTTGCAAAGCCACCTGGACGCCACGGGGCTGTGTGGGACCAGAGGTCACACTGCAGGGGCTCTCCAGGGAGCGCTGGATTTATTGCATCTGACTGGGTCCAGTAGTGCCCTTGCGGCCGTGTCCCCTGAGGGAGAAGCATGTTTTTGCCTCGATAGGGCTGCCCTTCTCTTGTGCCCGGGCACCATCACAGCCCCACTTGCACCCAAGCCCTGCAAATTCACCCACGTGCAAGGAGGAGGGTCCCATCTCCCTGCTGAGCAACTCAACCAAGGCACTCTGAGGCTGCCACAATCACACGCACCTCCCCAAAAATGATTTACCTGCCAGATAAAAGTACCTCTGCGGTGCCAAGGCAGAACGGGAGGACACCAGCAACGACTACAGGAAAAAGCATCACCTCCCTAGGAAACAGGGTTGCACCGAAAGCCGCAAGCTCTCCCCACCCAGGAAAGGTTTGTGAGGGTGAGCTGACCCTCAGCTGCTGCTCATCAACCCTTCACCCGCCTTCCTTGGAATTCAGTCAGCCCAAAGCAGCCAGGGCCAAACCCTGCTCACCCACTGTGGGTGGTGTGGGGTGCTGTGCGGCCCCGTGCACCCCACGCAGCGATGCTGCGTGGCTGATGGGGGCCGGGCGAAGGGCAGGGTGTGCACACGGGCTGCCCCGGGGGACCCCAAAACCCGGTTGGGGTCAATAAAATAAACCTTCCCAGGCATCCGCTCCCCCCCAACACACCTTTTTAATACAGAGCAGATTGGGGTAAAACCAGCTCCTTTCACATGAGACCCCACGTCCCTGGGGAGTCGCTGCTACCTGAGCGCTAGAAAGACGGAGGAGCCTCCACCTGCTGTTTGCAGTTTATTTTAGCAGAGAGAAAAATAACGCGCACAAGAGGCATTTTGCATAACTTAACAGAAAATAACACTTTTCCTCCGCTCTTCATGGATCAACGGGCAAAATCATTTCCTACACACAGCTATTTTTTGGTGCTAACAGTTTGGTGTATTGATAAAATCATGGCTTTCCTCTAATACGCTGCGATAGTTGATCTGAAACCCAAAGCCAGGCTCAGGCTTGGGGGGCTCCTTCGCTGTTTAACACAGCTCCCACCGCCGTTTGCCCGTGGGGAGGGTGAGCGCCAGGTTCGTCCCCCCAGCACTCCCAGGGGGGATTTTGCAGCCGGGGTCTGGCTGGGGACGTCGAGCAGCTCCGCAGCTCTCGCCACCCGTGCCATGTCCTGGCCGCTCTTCCCCGGCGTGGCTGGAGAGGTGACCCAAAATGAGGGGGGGGCGCAGGCAGCGCCAGCAGCCTCAGTCCAGGGCCAGCGAGGGGATCTTGCAGACGAAGGGGAAGGCTCTGCCGCAGGCGTTGTCGTTCCAGGAGCGCAGTGCTACCCCCAAAAAAACCCCAAGGCGTTAGCTGAAAAAAGGTATGAGAAGGCAACCGTGCGCCGCCCTCGGGACTGGGACCTCCTGCCATTGCGGGAGGCTTTCCCTGGATGTCCTCCCAGCTGGGCTGCTCCCAGCTGTGCCCCCTCCCAGTATCCCCATCCCCATCCTGCGGATGCTGGCAGGGACGCCTGGCCCCAGCTCAAATGGGGGAGCAGGGAGGCAGCTGCAAACACAGTCCCATACCGCCCAAAATATCACCAGGTCGCAAGTGGACAGGACATTTAGGTATGTTCACAAGCTCTCAATACACCTGACTGGTCTCACTGGAAATGAGGGTGTGAAGTGGGATTTTTGGACAAGCAGGGTCTTGCCCCGCTTCAGCGAGATGGCCCTGGCCTGAGGGAGGGAGGGAAAAGTTGGCAAACTGAGGGGTGTTTCCACAGGCTGCTTGTGGGAGGGGAAAATCGGAAACTTTGGCTAAATTCAGTAATTCTTCAAAGTAAGTGATGCTCCCCTCCTGCCGCTGCTATGGGAGAGGGAGATGGGCTGTGCGTGGAGAGAAAGTGAGTGTGTGTGTGTATGTACGTGGTGAAAGAGAAAACACATCCCTTCTCTGCAAAGAAAAAAGAAAATAATAACAAAAAATTAAAATGCAAATCCTCAGCCCGCCAGCAACTTCTTCAGAAAAGCACGAGCCACAGTGGATTGAATTTATTGACATGCAAGTCAGACTTCAGGTGCTCTCGCTGCCCGGTGCGACACTCACCGCTGCTGTGCCTGTACCAGATCTGCACGCAGTCCTCCTCCTCCGGGATGGAGTGGATCCCGTCATCGGGCTGACTGCCGTCCCAGTAGTGGTAGTCGTAGGAGGAGCCGTCCGTCCACTCAAAGTGACCCTCCTGGTGTGGGGTGAGCAGAGAAAGGCCGTGATCGCAGAGCCATGTCCGAGGTGTGGGGGGGGTCCCATTCCCAGACCCCATCCCTGGTGCCACACAGCCCGGGGACACGGGGAGATACTGCTACCGCTCAGCAAAGGCCAAAAAGCACATTTGGGTTTTACAACTGAAAACTTACCTTCGAAAGCCCTACCATTCACAGCATTCGCACAAGGGGAAGCCCAGAAGTTAAACCCATATATTTTTTAACACACCCACCCAATTCTGTGTTGTTTTTCTTTTTCTTTTCCATTCCTTTCCTGACATCTACAAAAAATTTACTGGCATGGGATTGTTCTCCTGATGGTCTCAATTTTTCTTTGTTACATGTTAGACTGTATATTTCCAACGTGTCAGCTTTGACAAGTTGCAGAGTTTCACAAGAAAGCAATGAAACTTCATGATTTTTGGCGTTGGAGATGTTTTCAGTTTATTTGCTCTTCTTGGACCAGCAGTACAATACTCTTTCTATTAATCCATTAATGAAATATGATGTGAATAATTAGTAATTGTTAATCTATTAATTCTAGTAACACCTTTCTTTTAACTGCAGACTGGATGGGATGAAATGACAACTTTCCCCCATGCACTGCACAACAGACCTTATGCCACCACCCAATTAATGGGGCTATCAGGAGTGAAGAAGAAAACCAAGTGGCTTTCCAGAGGGAAAACATAGGGAAGTGAATTTTTCAAAGCCATTTCCCACATGATTACGGGGAGCTCTCACCTGCCGCAGGTCATTGAGCCCCGTCCAGATGTCGGTGGGGATGCCCGGCACGCGGCTGTTCACCAGGTCGTACACGAAGACATTTTCTTCCCAGCTGGCAAAACAGAGCAATACGAAGCCGCTGAGGGGGTACGTCAAGCAAATAGTCAGGCATGCCCCTAAGCCCTACGGCATGGCCAAATGGGTTCCCTTCTTCTAATTGCTGTTGATTACTTTGACTGGTCTGTGCAAGAGGTGTGTAGTGTGGGCGAGAGCTGGGGCAGAGGGCGTGGGGGGGAAGCCCATGTAATCATGCTGTATGTCTACCCTTTTTCCAAGCAGTTTTGGGGAATTCAGGGCATACTACGGCAGTTTTCCTGCCAGCCCAGGAAAAGGCATTTTTTACATCGCCTTTGTGTGCCCAGTGCATCAGACGTGACCCAGTTGCTGCTGCAGAGGGATGCTCAGGCTTGGACACGAGCCTGCAGCTGGCTCTGAGGTTGTGCTGTGGGAATGGGACTTTGTCCCCATTTTCCTTCTTCCCCAGGCCGTGCCAGGGTGGGATGACAAGATTCTGCATTCCTCACCTGTGGATGGAGGCCAGCTTGGCTGATCTGATGCCGATGGAGAACTCGGCACAATAGAGGTCAGCTTCAGCCCAGGTTTTGTTGATGGGGAAGTACCGGTAGCAATGGCCTTCGTACTCAGTCCAGAAGAGTGGGCAGGAGTAGGCATGGACGGGCTCCGGCATGGCTGGGGGCAGAGCAGAGGACATCCAGCAGCTGAGGATGAAGCAGTGTGGCCGGGCAGCTGAGCAGGCAGCGGAGGCAGCAGTGCCCAGCCCTGCTCCCCCCCGCTTCACCCAGGCAAATAACCACCAAACGCACGCGTGGAAAAACCAACTGTTGCAGAAGACGTGCAAAAGTTTGCAGAAGCCCAAACAAATTTTGCAAAAGCCATGGGTTTCCCGGTTTTAGCATCTGCCTAAACCAGGAGGGCCTTTTCAAGCCAGTTTAACATCGGTTTAGGCGGTGGGTGCTTAAAATAAAGGCGCTGACTTTCGCTACTGGGCAAAAAGTGATAAGGGCTCCTCTCGCCTCTACCAGGCACTACCAGACCTGCCGTGCTGGGATGGGAGCTGACGGCCAGGAGCTGTGGGGTCAGGGCTGCATTCTGCCCTCCTGCAAGGACATCTTGCACCTCCTCCCTCCGACCAAAGCCCCTCGCTGACCAAAGCCCCCCACCGTCCCCCGTGTCCCCGGACGCAGGCGTGCATGTACGCAGGGGTTGGGTTTCAGCCCCGTAAATAGCCGGACGAGGCGCGCACGCCGCCAGGAGCGGTGCCAGCCTATCTGCTTCCCACCGCCAGATAAGAGCTGGGGCCCACCGAGCCGCTCCTCCTCCCTCACCGCTTTTCAGCACAGCGGGGAAGTTACCCCAAAAGAGGCCATTCTGGGGGCAGGACGCATTTCTGGAGCCTTTGCAGTTGCCGCTGTGTAAACACTGGGGCGGCGTTAACGCGTCCCTCTGACCTCCTCCACGTCACGCTCCCCCCGACGCTCGCGAGGAGGCTGCAGCACACACACAACACGCCGCCCAACGCTAACGCACGCGTAACCCCCAAATCTCGTGGCACGTAGGCTCAACTCTCTCAGCTGCTGGTTTTTGAGCCTCGGGGAATTGCCGGCTCCCCCAGAGCCAGTTCCCGCATCCCCATGGGGTCCCGGTCCATGGTTGGAGCGAGCGGGGAGGTGGGCAGGGTGAGGGGAGCAGGGGGTTATGGCACACATCAGGTGCCATGAAACTATCTAAGCAGGGAACAGGCACAAGCCCGGAAAGGTCAGGATGGTGCTACGGGCCCCTCTGGTACTGAGGGGCCAAGGGGGGAATGGTTTTCCCCGAGGGTGGGGAGAGCAAAACCCTGCCAGCAGCAGCATGGGACGTGGGAGCAGCGAGGGCAGCACCGGCGTGATGAAAAGGAGAGGCAAGGTGAATTCAAAGCAGCTGTGTTCGTGGAGCTGAATCCTTCCCCATGCCAGTGCTGGCAGCTCCGGGCGATAATTTTATTTTTCATCAGCTCTTTCCACCTGGGGATCTCTCAGTGTTTTACAAACAGCCACCAGCCAGATCCTGGGTCCCTCCTGTCACACCTCCCTCCCAGGCGACAAACCACTAACACAAAGGGCCTTTTTTTCCTCCTGAGCAAGGCGCAGAGGCCAAGCCGACTGCCGAGCCCCACGGGGCTGTCACCCCATCACCCCACCTGGGGACCCCCAGCAACTCCCTTTGGAGGAGCCGTGCCTGGGAGCAGCTCTGCACCCCACAGCAACAAACCTGCCGAGAGCAGCGAGGGGCTTGAGGGGCTCTCCTGTCCTCATCGGCACTAGTTATGGGCTGCGGAGGAAAACAGATAAGACACACAGGGCTGGAAATGAGCAGAATAGCTTTAGGGGAGGGTGGCCAAGCTGCAGCCAGCTCAGTGGCAATGCAGGCTTCAGCTCACCGATGCACACCTGACCATCCTTGCATTGGGAAAAACCTCAGAACAGCCCTGGGAAATGCAAATTATTCCATTGTAGCAATAGAGCAGAAGGACTAGGAATGCCAAGAACCGATGCGATTTCCCAGGAGCCAAGCCCTCCTCCCACCATGATGCTGGCCAGGGGTCCCTGTCCCCACCAAAAGCGAAGCAGAGCAAGGGCAGAGGGTCAAACCCACAGGACAAGGCTTCAGCTTCACTGCAGAGTCACGGATGAGGCATATCCCCCCACTCAGGGCAGGCCTGGGATCTGGTCCCGGCTCACAGCAACTCCAGGTCGCTGCTCCCTCCTGCCGAGGGCACCCTGGGGGTTTGCGGCAGACAGGCGCTGCCAGCTCCCCCAGCAACTGGGATTTTATTATAGAGGCTGTGAAGCGCCTCGACAAACTCTTCACCTCTAGCAGCATGGTGGCAAAATTCACAGGGCTTAACCCAGCAGCATCCCCAGCAAACGGGGCCTTTCGCTCCCGAGTGCTAATTGCAGCGGGTGTCCCAGTGGCCTGGCTCCAAGCCAGGTCCATCAGCACCCCGATTGCCTGGGAAAATCACCCTCGTTTTGTTCAGAGCGGCCGAAACAGAGTCAGAGATAGAGACAGTCCTTCTTTGTTATTCCATACTGCTTCCCATTAGGTAGCATTAATTTGACGAGCTTCAGTGAACCAGAGGTGCCTGAAGGAATTTAAGGTTAAATATACCAAAAAGGAAAATATGGGAGGTCAGCATTTAATTAGCATCTTTTTCTGTTAGGTCAGGATCAGAGGCTTTGGCTGTCTCTTTGGTGGAAAACTATTGCTCCCAGTTTTACAGGCAGGAACAATTGGGGGTGCTGCTTTATCTGGAGTGTTTGGGGGCTATTTTTAGCAGAAAGGCCATAAGAAATCAGATGTATGGTTGTGAGTATAGGAGCCCACTCATGGCTCTGCAGGAAAACCTCATAACCCAAGCCAGCAGCTGCCGATGGCATTTTGCTCTAAAATGAGAGAGGGAAAGCATTTTGGGGCTATTTAGACCAGATCCTCGCTTTTAAGCATCCCAGCAAAACATCACCCCCAGCAGCATCAGCTCCTCTGCACAGGGCAGGAGCAGCACAGCCACTGCCTGTGGGATGGGAGCTCCTGCCAACCCCAAGCCAGTTCATCCATTTGTCCCCAAATTCCTGGTGAAAAATGATGGCAAGAATCCTTCCTCCCTTTGCTTATTTACAGTGCAGTAGTTTTAAGGCCAGGGCCATGTTTTAACGCAGCACCAGCAAAATAGATGTCCAGACTTGGTTTAGGATAAGGTTCATATCAGGCAGCTGTTACTAACTCAGCAAAGCTGGAAAACAAGAATTTGGGGTCAGAAAAAGAGTTTTGTGCTCTCTGGATTTGTGTCAGTGCCAATGAAACTGGACCCTTTTTGTTTACTAGCTGAGACCCACTGCAGAACCACCAGGAAAATCACTTGTCAAAATCTTGCAGAAGCTGGCACTGCTCTGCCAAAAAGTTTCACTTCCGCAAGTGGCCACTTTCCAATTAGAAGTAATCAACTGAGAAAATCCCAGCCAGTTTCATGAGGTTTTTTTATTCCAGGATGCTACTGGAAAAGATAAAATACCAACTGCGTGACTCCCACTGACTCAGCTGGCAAAGAGCAGGTTTTTCCCTGAACAGCGTCATCTGAAGGTGCAATGCTGCCTCACCTCCAGCGATCTGCAGATTTGAGATATGAAGTTTGGGGCTAGGACAAGGTTGGCAAGAGATGCCCGTGCAAAGACGACTCCTGGGGCACTGCAGCTCCGTCAGAGTATTTTGGACAGCACATCGGATCAGGTCAGTGCTGGCAGCAGATGCTCTTCTTGCTGCAGCATTGAAGAGCTCCGTTTCATCAACAGCTGACGACTTACCAAAAATCTTAGAGACGTTAGGAGACACCTCACTGAAAGGCATGGTCTTGAAACACCCCCCCTTGGCACATCCATAAGCTAATGCTGCCGTCTGACCTGAAAAAGCAAGTGAACCTCTTCAGCTCTGGGCAAGCAGCTGCGTTTGGAGGGTGTCCATCGCCGCCCGAGAGGCTTGTCTGAAGTTAATGCCAACGGAGAAGAGCAGAGGAGATCCCTGTCAGATGGAAGGCTGGGTCCTTCCCAGGGCAGAGCTGCCCACAGAGCCCCTCCGCTGGTACCCCAGGGCTGTGATGCCGGGAGTGAGGGATGGGGAGCGCTGCCCAGCTGGGGCTCAGGACGAGCATCCTGGTCCTCACCAACACCGAGTTGCCCCTTACCAGTTGAGCGCCAGCAGCGTGACTTTACCCCGTGTGGGCACTGCTGGAGCAGTGGGCAGTTATAGGGGATGGGTGAGACGACAGGGCTGGGACAGGGGAGCCCCGGGACCCCCCTGGGACAGCTTTGGCAGAAGCAGCCTGCGGCGAGGCTGGGCGGTTCAAAGTGCCAGCTGAGCCAGAGCTCCATCCCACCACAGCCTCAACACATCCACCAGCCCACAGCCTCTTTATTGAATAAACCCAAAGAATAAGCATTAAAACGGGGGGGTTGGTGGGCAGGAGCTAAGACAGTGCTGCTGCGTGATGCTGGGGTGCCTGAGGTCACCCATGGCTTTAGGAGCACGTCCTTAGGCCCTGACACTATAGTCATTACGGACAAACAATCCCACCTTCATGTTATTTGCGATATTTGTCTTTCATTAAGAGATGAAAAAGTCTCAGGCTCAGCGTCCACCGTCAAAACAAGCAGATCGGGGGGGGGATTTTGGTCTCCATGTGTCTGGGGGATGCATGGAGCTGGAGGGGATGGTATCCACTGATGGATGTGAAGCTCATTAAAAAACTGGGCAACATTTTACACACTCCGAAGTGTTTTTTAAGGCACATGTTACAAATTTCCTAGTAAAATATTAAACACCAGTTGAAGCACATTGGAAGCGACATCCTTTCAACACAGAAGGCTTTGGGTTTTAAAATCCTATATTGAAACCAAGCTGGTTTTACAGCTTCAAATCTTCTGCCAGGTATGTCTGGAGTCATGAGGCTATGGCAGACTCCAGCAGCAGCTCTCCTGCAGCCGGCCCGAAGAGATAAGAGTTATCTTGCAGAGTTTTTTTCCTCCTTAATTAGTTTTGGTGAAGCTCCCACGGATTAGGCATCTGGCAGGAAAGCTGGGCTCCTATCGAGCCTTTTTCTCACAAAGTCACTGAACACACTTAAGGAGTCCCTTTCTGCTCACACCCCTACATAAATCTAACAGGGTGCGAACAAACTCGGAGCAGCAACTCTCACTTGCACCAGCTCCGTGAAAAAGTTTGCAAGAAACTGAAGTGACATATAGCAGTGACCATCACCAACAGCTCAGAAAAAAAAAAAAGGGGGGAATAAGGGGGAATCACATATTTGTGGCCACTTTTCACATGCAATAAGTGGGAATAAATAAACGGGGAGCCACGGTGGTCCCCCAGCCTGTCCTACTGGGCTGTGTGGCTGCAGCCCTGCACCACTCACAGATGTGCCTCCGTGCAGTTATTTCTGCCCGCTGCCCCCGCCATCCACACCGGACCCACGGTAGGGACGGCCGGAGGTCCACAGCAGCGTGCCACGCGAGCACACCTCGCTGAAGGCGAAAGCGCAGCCTCGTACAGACAGAAACAAAGCCAGCCCAGAAACAGCTTCAATATCCCGGGAGAGACTGGGGCTGCTCTTGGCACGTCCCCCCAGTGAAGAAGAAAGTCGATTTCAAGGAAAGTCGGAGATTTCTGGAGCAGTCGGAGAAAGGGGAAAGCCAGCTGCTGGCCCTGCCGGAGGTATGCGCTCTCCGCTCCCTGCTAAAGCCGTCGCAGTTTAAGGGTACCTTCACCCCGAGCCGCAATCAACGCTTTGCACTCACCTTGGCTGATCTTTATGTTGGTCTGGGGGAAAGCCTGGGCGGCGAGCAACGCCGCGAAGAGGAGCGCGCACACGTCCCACCCAGTGCCCATGGCCAGGGAGGGAGGACGGGGTGCTCCCCCAGCTCCGCGGGCAGCCGGTTGCAGGGGTCGCCGCTCGGTCCGGGACCTCCCGGCTGTGCCGGAGGAGGCTGCTGGCGGGGAGGTGGATATAGGCGCTGAGCTGCTCCCTCCCCCAAAAGCAGCGGCTCTCCCAGCGACACACGCCTCCCCACCCGCTGCCGCCGGCTGAGCCCTGGCGCGCTCATTGCATCCCACCCCGAGCGACCCGCGGCCCGGTGCGGGGGCGCGCGTCTCCTCCCGGAGAGCCTTTGGCACACGCCGCAGGCTGCAGGTGAGCGAGAAAATCCCTTACCTACCCCCCGCGGTCGCTCCCCGGGGCATAACGTGTCCCCAGTTTAGCGCTGCCCAACCGCGCTGCGTGCCCCGCCGGGACGCTGGCGGCCGTCCACGCAGAGGGGAGCTGGGCGCAGACCTTCGCCTTGGGGTGCCTGAAGAAACAACGCGCCCCTTTTCCCTGCTGCGCAAGGCCGGCAGCCCTTCGAACGCGGGGCAGAGTTAGCCGCTGGAAGGCGAGGGCTGCGTTAGGGCCGGGGAAGCTGCGGCCGCAGCAGCCGGGCACCTGGGGGAGCGGGTGGAGGGGGTCCCCGGGGCTGCGGGGGAGCGCGGCCTCGTGCGAGGCTTTGTGCGGCATGCGGTGGTGGGGTTTACCCATTGCTGCCCCATTTTGTGCCCTTTTTTTTTTTATTTAACCGGGGAAAGGCAACGCTTTGACACACTACAACGGGCTGGAAGGGGAAAGCACCGGCTGTGCCCTGGGATCCAAGGCTGTTGCAGGAACTCACACTGTGCCCACCTGCGAGGTCCACGCCGGGTTGATGCAGTCCTGTAACAGCAGAAAACCTTCGGCATCAGGCAGCAGTCAACATCATAAACAGTCAGTATTAGCTAGCATGTCTCTTTTCTGTGGTCAAAGTTTTTTTGGAAATAAACTTCAGATTTTTAAAAATACGGTATAAAGTCCTTTTCTAGCTGTTGCACTGGTAAGGGAAACAGTACAGGTGCAAGTACTGTGAAATTCTGTGGTCCCGCTCCATGTCCAATTTATGCCTTAAATCAGTATTAAATGAACTGCTTAGGAACACACTTGATTCCCCTTTTTATTCTTAGCTACAGATTAAAATTTTCAGCATTTTCTGTGTCTTTCAGTTGAGATGACCCGTTTTTACAGGCAAGATTCAAGCAGGAACAATTTGGGGTGACACAAAGCTTTCAGTATAGTAAAGCACCCGGACTTACTCCAGAAACAGCAACTCATTCCATCAACTTTCCTATATTAAATTTTCTTTGCATTAAATAAAACCTTTTAAGAAAACTACCCCCTGCCATTTGCAGTTCCATTCCTCGATCTGAAACTATACGGCTCAAAGAAAAGCCTATTGATATATCAGACCACTAAAAATGAAGGAATTCAGAGTATTAGAAGCCAAGGCGTGCCTTCTCCCTTCTTAACTGTGTGCCATCCCCAGATAAAGCCGATGGGATAAACAATTATCTGCAAGCTATGGAACAAAACTTTTTGAGCATATTAATCTACTCCCACAGCACAAATGTTTGTGCTTAAAAAGGGAGCAGAGGTCCGGAGTAATTTTAATCCTGTTTCTAACGAAGACCCACCACAGCAGTATCCCCCCGCAGCGCAGGCAGCAGCGCCGAGCCCCCCCATGCTGCCCCCCCACGCCAGCGGCTCCGTGCCCAGCACAGCAGCTGGGCACCAGCTTTGCTCCCAGCACTGGGAAAGCACACGCGCACAGAGCTACACTTTGGGTTACCTTCTGATTTCACAAAACATGAGATGCGTTTTACCTGCTGGGTGCAGCCCCAGGAGCACAGCCACGTCTCATTTATTCAGCCTTTTTGCTCCTCTCTCTGCCCACACTGTTTTCTGATGGCCCTCCACGTCGGGAGCTCCTCGGTGTGCTTCCATCCTCCTTTTATTGACCTTTCCCTTGCCAATTTTTGGCATCATATGTACATGACACCCCCCCTCCCTGTGAAACAGATACCTCCTGGCTCCAAGGACAGCCTCATGAGCAAGAGTGCCTTCTGTTAACATGTCAGCCCCAGTGCTTGAGCAAGGCACGTGGCAGGTCTCAGGTCATCTTCCGTGGACGCGCAGAGCTCGTGCTGCTGCCCACAGACCCCGCGTGGAAGAACATTAATGTCAATGGCAGTGACTGCTGAAACCATGGCCCCTTGTCTGAGCCTTTTTGAGTTACAGGAAGAGATTGGCCTCCTACAGCACATGTTTGCCCAAGACACCCGTGGGCTCCCTGTCCACCGTGATTTATTGATGAGACGAACCAGGAGGAAGCCAGAGAACAGATTTGCTATCGACCTCGCTGCGGGACAAAAGAGGAATTCCACCTTGCAGAGAGACAGAATTGAAACCCAGCATCCACAACACGCTCGGAAAGAGGATGCCCACGGACAGCCCTGCGGCAACCACCGTCCCCATCGCTTTGTGCTGCCGCTGTACGGCAGCTGTGCTAGAGAGCAGCAGGGAGCCACGTGCAGTGGTCAGTGAGAAGCGAAGGCGTTCACCAAGGGACAGTGTGCACGACCACACCAACAAGGTAAGCTCCTACCTGTGCTCACCCCCAGCCACAGCCACCGGGCGATGGTTCACCAACGAGATGACCAAGGTCTTCTTTGCCATCCTCTATCCAAGGCCGTGCTGTGCTCTGCCCGGGAGCAGGGTGTCCGCACTGTTACCCTCCCCTAGCTGCTGAGAGATGGCTTCTGGATGGAGAGGGGAGACAACATCTCTTGTAGCTTCCTTGTATTCATTGCATTCCCTCTTCCACGATGGCAGGGTCACCGTATCAGACTTGGCTGTCACACAGAGAACGTGCACAGGGATGCTCTGAGTGCAGAAGGGAACGAAACACCCGTGACTCACTGTAAACCAGAGCAGGTCCCAGACCAAAGACGTGCTGCAGGGATGCTGGTATCAGAGTTACAACACAGACCTTCACACCGGAGCACAAACACCCTGGACTGCAGCAAGGACTATTGACCAACACACCGACATCTGCCCAAACAAGCACTAAGCTTTTTTTTTTTGGCTTTGTAAGACTCACCTGTCCTTAACCGTAACAGCCAAACAACAAACAGAGCTGAAATAGGCATATATATGTATTGTTTTCTTCTTAAAAATCAAAATATTAAGAGCACAGGAGGTAACGGGATTTCATTCTGGGCTGCATTTGATGAACGGGGGGGAGGGAGACGACTGCCGCCTGCCCCACCACGTGCCAGCTCTGGACTGTCATCACTCCGACCTCCAGTTTCAAAGGTTGAAGGGCCACAAGCAAAGGCAAAGCTTTCCGCAGCACCCAGCCCCAAGTCCTTGCCCCAAATACCACCTTTATTTTGCTCAAGGCAACTCTCCTGCTTCTAGCAAAAAGGGACTGAGCCAGGGCAGCCGGAGCGTGCGCGGGTTTGCTCCTCTCCCAAGCAGTCAACGGGGACCGGCACAGCCGCGGGAAGGCTCTGCACCACGGGGCGCGTGGAAGAGGAGCGGGCCATGGGCCTGGGCCACTGCAGGGGCCACGGGCTACCACACAGCAATTTCACAGGTCACCTGGGGAGCAGGATACGACCAGAGCCCAGGGCCCTTCCCCACCTCCTCTGTTTGAGCACAGCGGCACTGATGCGGCGGCAGAGCCGACCCATCCGTAACACCCTGAGGCTTTCCAGCCCAACACAGATAAACACTGCTGAAGGCAGAACAGATCCTTCCTTCTCCGAAACGAAGACTTGGAAAGACTATAAAGTCATGGGCCAGGCTCAGCCTGGGTAATGTCCTTCAGGGTACTGTCCCTTTTGTTTGATTTCTTGAATGGGCTGTGAGATACAGACTTTTGTGCCATCTCAATGTTGATAAATACAGCAATAAAAAGTAATAATAATTTGGGGCCCACTCCTGCAAAGATCCAAGACCCAGAGCCCAGTGCAGAGACTTTGACACATCCGACCCACAGCACGTTGGGTGTGCTCTGGAGAGACCAATGCATCTGGCTTGCCCTCCCGACCGATCTCTATCAGCAGGTCCCCAGCTTCTCTCAAATTGCTCCTGGTTCATCTGCAGAGAGTAACAAGGGGGTAAAGGCCAACATTTTGGCTTTTCTTGTGCTATAAACGTAACCAAAGGAGCTCAACACAAAGATGAATTCTGCTAACAAGTATCACCCCAGTCCAGGTGGCACAATTAAATAGAATTTTATTTTCAATAAATATACAATCTGCATCATACCAGACAATATGCTGTGAAAAAATAAAATGTACAGAAGCAACCAACAGGACAGCTTGACCGTAGCTAAGTTCACTTGGTGACCTGGAGAACTACCTGGGTTAACACACACAACACAGAAAGAGCCACTGCAGTCTGTGAGAGAATTGAAATTGTGTATTTTGGGTCTTCTTAATTGCAAAAGTCCCCGCAGCAGGTTTCTTTTGCACAACACAGGTTTGAAAAGACATGAGCTGGCTTTCCTGGTACAAATGCTATTGGAAATGTTTACTTTGCTATATCATTACTGTATCTACTTGACGCACACAGACTGCTATCGAGAGTGGCAGGTCTCACCGCTGACGTGACATCGGATCCGTTTGACGCGGGGCTGCACGGCCACACACGCGCCCCAGCACACAAATGCACGCGTACGTACTAACAGGAGCTTAATTCTGTTGCAACTAGTACAAGGACAAAACTGGAGTCAGAATCGATTTCACCACAGGTTCTACCGTTTAAAAAAATATTCTAGCCTAATTACCACGTTCACCAACGAGAGCACACGGGTACTTATATCTCCGAGAGGATGAGCCATGGATTTGGACTGGAAGGACAGCGGGGGCAACTCCCAACTCCTCCACCCGCTCAGCGCTTCCCGCGGCACCTCCACGCGCCGCCCGGCCGCGCGCTCCACCACGCGGGACGCAAACAGCCGAGCGGTGCCGGGTGCGAGCAG